TCTTCGAGTGTCGTGTCTAGGTCTGGTGCTGCTGGATCGCAGACTCCCCCGCCACAGTTCTTTAGCAGCCGACTGGCTGCGTTCGAGCAGTATGAGGAGGAGGAGGAGCAGGAGGAGGAGGAGGAGGAGGAGGAGGAGGAGATTGCTCGACATATTTTTGATGGAGGGGGACCCTCCGACCGCTGCAGGGGCCCAGCAGCAGTCAGATCCAGTCGTCGAGTCGCATGTCGTTCTGCCAGAAGCTGTTGATGCTCAGAGTGTAGCAGGCCTGGGGTTCGCCCCCGCCGAGGGCAATGTAATCCCTGGCCATGTGGGACGAGATGGGGCTGCAGTGAACTCCGCTCGAAGTCGGTGAATGGAGGCCTCGCTTGGAACCGCTTGTTTTTCAAACTCAGTGTCAGATGGCGCTGTGTTAGGCGCAGCCTCACTGGGCCAGCAGCAGTCAGATCCAGTCGTCGAGTCGCATGTCGTTCTGGCAGAGGCTGCTGAGGCTCACAGTGTAGCAGGCCTGGGGTTCGCTCCCGCCGAGGGCAGTGTGACCCCTAGCCATGTGGGACGAGATGGGGCTGCAGTGAACTCCGCTCGAAGTCGGTGAATGGAGGCCTCGCTTGGAACGACATGTTTTTCGAACGCAGCCGCCCCCATGGGCCGGCAGCAGCTCGATCCAGTTGTCGGTTCGCCTGTCGTTTAGGAAAGAGCTGCTAAGGCCCAGGGGTTAGTACTCAGACGTGTGAGGGACCAGCTGCACCACGAAGAGGACGAGCAGCCACTGGTTCCCTCGCGCGCTCAGACAGTCAGAAGAGCATCAGGCTCGCTGGACTAGATTTCAGGCCGCCTTGGAAGACCTGATGGACAGGCAAGCCTATCCAAGAGTGGCGGCACCAACGAGGGCGGGGATTCTTCGGGGTCAGGGGGCAGCCGCCTCGCCAGGGTCTCCCTTTTTGAAGAGGTGCCGAAGTGAACTTCGGGTGCGCCTCAGGTGGTTGCGCAGGAGGAGGGCGGGCGGGCGGGGAAGACGAGCATCTGATGAGGATGGTGCCAATTATGATGGTGATGCTGCTGCTGCTGATGATGATGATTCTGCTGCTTGTGATGATGACGCTGATGACGATTACGATGACAACGACGATGCTGATAATGAGGATGTTGCTGATGATGCTGGTAATCATGACGATGAGGGTGACGATGCTGCTGGTGATGATGGTGGCGATGATGATGACGATGATGATGATGATGCTGATGATGGTGATGATGCGGATTGGGGTGGTGGTGATGATGAGGAGGAGGACGAGACGGAGGACGAGTAGGAGGATGAGGAGGAGGAGGAGGAGGAGAAGGAGGAAGAGGTGGAGGTGGAGCTGCGGCCGCCTTTTCTTGTCACCGTTGGTGTTGAGGGGTGTGTGTGTGTGTGGGGGGGGGACGGGAGGATGGGGATGCGGATGAGGATGAGGAAGCGGACGGGAATTGTGATGATGACGATGAGGACGATTGGTGATGGTGATGGTGACAATGATAATGGTGATGCTGATGCTGATGATGAACCCTTTGGTCATCATGACGAGGATGCCGATGATGATGATGATGATGCTGATGACGGCGGTTATGATGATGCTGATGCTGGTGATGATGCTGCTGCTGATGCTCATGATGATGCTGTTGCTGATGCTGCAGATTATGCTGTTGGTGATGCTGCTGTTGCTGCAGATCATGATGATGATGATGATGATGATGATGATGATGATGATGATGATGATGATGATGATGATAATGCGGATGCGGCTGATGACGATGATGCTGAAGATGTTGATGACGACGACGGTGATGATGGTGGTGAGTATATCGAAGATTTTGACGATGATGCCAATGGCGATGATGATGACGATGACGACGGTGATGACGACGCTGACGATGATGACGATCACGACGGCGACGACGACGATGATGAGGCTGTCGATGATGATGCTGATGATGATACTGATGATGATGATGCTGATGATGATGATGATGATGATGATGATGATGCTGATGCTGATGCTGATGCTGATGCTGATGACGATGATGATGCTGATGAGGATGAGGATGCGGATGAGGATGAGGCTGAGGAGGACGATGTGGTTGAGGATGATGCTGCGGTTGATGATGGTGATGATGCCGATGAGGCGGAGGAGGAGGAGAAGGATGGAAGGAGGGCAGGCAGGAACGAGCGGGCAGCGAGGCTGGGCAGCGAGGGTCGAACGCGCCCCGCCTGCAGCGACTCCGCGCCCCGCGAGGTGTTCGGCCGCGTGCACCGCGCCAACCAGCTGGTGCCGCCCCGCTTCGTCATGCTGTGCACGCCGCTCGGCGGCGAGGCGGCCGCCCACGCCCGCGCGCGCGGCCCGCCGCGGGGGAGGCCGCGGCGCCCGCAGGGCGTCGCCCGAGCGTGCTCGAGAGGGGGCGACGTTCATGGGGGCAGGCTCTTCCACCTCCTCAGGGTCTTCTTCCTTCTCTCCTCCTCCTCCTCCTTCTCCTCTTCGTCGTTCTGTTTCTCTTCCTCCTCCTCCTTCTCCTCCTCCTCCTCCCATTTCTCTGTCTCTTCCTCGTCCTCTTCCTCGTCCTCTTCCTCTTCCTCCTATTCCTCGTCGTCATTATCCATATGTGTCTCCTTCTCTTCCCCCTCCACCTTCTCCTCCTCCTCCTCCTTCTCCTCCTTCTCCTCCTCCTCTCCCTCCTCCTCCTCCCCTCCCCCTCCTCCTCCTCCTCCTCCTCCTCCTCCTCCTCCTCCTCCTCCTCCTCCTCCTCCTCCCTCTCTGGCCTCCTCATCCAGCTCCCCCTTCTGCTCCTCCCCCATCTTCCGCAGCCGTTTTGGCTTAGGACTATGACCCCCCCCTGGGATCAGAGCGGGGACCCCTGGTCCATGGCGGACAAGGCTTTTAAGCCTGGTGATCTGTTTTTGCTGGGGGACTTGGGCACCCCCGCCTCCGCCCTCCACTTCCACCTCTTGCTGGAGGCCCCGCAAGTGGGTAAACAGCGGAGTTTCACGTTCTTGCTGGCGTGACTGCGTCATGCCTGAGACTAAGGACAAGGAAGCCAAACCCGAGAGGACCCCACAACGCCAACGTCGTCGTGATGAATCCATGTATGCTGTCTTTCCGTCTACCCCGACGCACACTCCAATGAACGCCCGTGAGTCTGCTCAGCGTCGGCGCGACCAACATCGCCGTGACAATCCTGGGCTTCGTCGGCGAGATCGTGTTCGACATGACAGCCCTGAGGCTCGTCATCGCTCCCCCTCACATCGTTCGAGGAGTGACCATGCTGACGAAGACTCTGCTGATGCTTCAGCCCAGCCCGCCCGGGGACGTGCAGATTCGCTATCGAGGGCTAGCCGCCGAATTATCACGGATGCATCGCCGATTCCAGGTCGATGATTCCTCCCCTGAGCTGTCCTCCCTTATCGTTCCTCCTCAGGGACGTAGGGGGAGGAACGGACCCGTGGGCGCGTTGATGTTTTTAGCCGCTGTCGTGGATAGCGGCTGTGTTGGCTGGCAGCGGCCAGGGCGGTGGTGGTACAGTGCCGTTTTTAATACATGCTCCGCGTGCGGATCATGTATTAAACATGCAGGGATTTAGTATCAATAACAACGATGAGATCATGCATATTTTTCCATGAGTTAGTCAGGTATTAAGAATCCTATATTCCCTACCTAGGCTCTGCCTAGAAGGGTTCTTACTCTCTATCTTAAAGGGGCCGGGCAGTGTTCCTCGCCCCGGGCGGTTCCCCCAGGATCCGCCCCGCGGTTCCCCCAGTTACGTCCCCTTAGCTTAGCGTTGCTTATATCACCTTAGCTTAGCTTATTTCATCTTAGCTTAGCTTAGCTTAGCTTAGCTTCATTTTAGCACAGTTTTATCTTAGCTTAGCTTACCTTCATCTTAGCTTCGCTGGGCTTTAGCATAGCAGAGCACATCATAGCATAGCATAGCGTAGCATAGCATAGCGCAACACAGCATATCATATCATAGCCCAACACAGCGTATCATACCATAACATAGCAGAGCATAGCATAGCATAGCGCAGCACAGCACAGCACAGCACAGCATAGCACAGCGAAGCATAGCATAGCATAGCATATCATAGCATAGCGTAGCATATCATAGCATAGCATATCATAGCGCAGCTTAGCATAGTATATCATATCATATCATAGCGTAGCACAGCACAGTGCAGCATGACATAGCATAGCTTAGCATAGCACAGCACACCATATCATAGCATAACATAGCGCAGCATAGCATAGCATAGCATATCATAGCATATCATAGCATAGCATAGCATAACATATCATATCATATCATAGCATAGCATCGCATATAATAGCGCAGCATAGCATGGTATGGCATAGCATAGCATAACAACTAATGCTGTTTTCCTAGGGGCTCCAACTTCTAGGTAGGGTCGCACTGGGGCATTTTTTTTTACATCCTATGCGTTAAGACCTGCCCGGTAGTGGTGGCAGCTGTGGCCGAAGTCAACTCTTGGGGCAGGCCGTGTGCTAAGGGAGGGGCACGTGTGGTACACGCAGCCCGAGGGACTCCGCCGCCAGTGGCCTCCCTGCGGGCGCTTCCCTTGGCAGCGGCGGCGGGGGCGGAGCGCATGGAAGCTCAGGGCGCGGCCGCGCGATCGCGCAGTGCGGGCGCAGGAGGCTCGTGTGCGCGGGCTGTCGGTCCCGGCTCGCGCGCGCTCATTATGTCGGAGAGGCGTTGTTGTTGTTGCTGCTGCTGCTGCTGCTGCTGGTCGTTGAATTCTCATCTCGGAAGAACAATGATGGTTGATCCCCCCCACCGGTGCATACGGTTTTTTTCTCAATCAAGGTGTGCCCCTCGACGCTCGCACCCTGGTTTTTGACAGGGAAAGTCTTGATGCTCAAACTGGACCCCTGGCCCCCTGGATTACAACAACAACGGCTCCCGCCTAAGACTTCTTCCAAATTTAGCCAGGACCCCCGCTCCCGCCGAAGACTTCCTCGCATTTAATTCAGGAATCCCGCTCTCGCTTGGGACTTCCTTACAATTTATTCAGGAATCGCTCTCCCGGCGCTCTGGAGTCGCGCTCTCGCTGGAGACTTGCTTGCAATTTTCTGGCGTGGGAATTTCCTGCAATTTGCTCAAGCGCCGCGCTCCCGACACCCAGGCACCCCGGAGTCGCGCCCGTCGTGGCCCCATGTGCATGCCCTTCGTGGCCGCGCTGTCGCCGTTTGTGGCCCCCTCACTGTCCTACGTGGCCCAGTTGCTACCCTCAGTGGCCCCATCGTTGCCTTCTGTGGCCCCGCATTATCTACCCTTCGTGGCCCCCGCTCGTTCGCGCTCTTCGTGGCCCCATACGCATTCCCTTTGTGTCCCCGCTGTCGCCCTTCGTGGCCTACTTCGTGTCCTTCGTGGCCCTGCTGTCGTTCTCTCTCTCTCTCTCGCTCTTGCTCGTCGTCGCCGTCGTCGTCGTCGCCGTCGTCGTCGTCGTCGTCGTCGTCGTCGTCGTCGTCGTCGTGGTCGGTCCCCTGTCCGTCCCTCTTGGGGTCGGGTCGACGGTCCGCGGCCGCCCCGCCGATCAGCGCTGCCGCTGGCCAGGCCGACGGTCCGCGGCCGCCCCGCCGCTTGCCGGGGCCCGGCCTGCAGGGAAGAAAGGTATACCCCCCAAAAGGGGTTCGATCGAAGACGAAGAGGGCGGGTATCGAGGGTTTGGGAAATACGCGTTATTGGACACTCGAGCAGATAAGGTGGAAGAGTCTTAAAATGATTATTGTTGTTGTTGTTCTTCTTCTTCTTCCTATTATTGTTGTTGTTGTTGTTGTTGATGATGTTGTTGAACTTTCACGATTGAAGAATCATTATTGTTGATCCTCCCCCCTCCGGTGACCACCTGTGTTTTGTGTTTTTTCCATTGAAGTTTTCCCCCCGGGGCTCGCTCCCGGATTTTTATCAGGAAAAGTCTCTAGGGTCAAACTGCGTTGTCGGGTCGGACCCCGAATTACAACAACAACAACAACAACAACAACAACGGCTCCCGCCTGATACCTCCTCACAATGTATTCCCAAATCGCGCTCTCGCGCGGGACTTCCACACATTTATTCAGACGCCGCGCCCACGACATTCACGATTGATTTGGGAATCGAGCTGTCGCTCGAGACTTCCTCGCGATTCATGCAGGATGCACGCTTGAGCAACCCGCCTGCTCGACCTGGCCGCCTGGGCCCTCCTTCCCGACCTGCCTGGTAGGGCCTACCCGCCCGATGTGCCCGTCTGTTTCTGCCGCGTGTTTTCTGCCCTTAGCCCGTGCTCCATCCTCCTCCCTCCCCCTTGTCCTTCCTTCCGTCCGTCCCCTCTTCCCCTGCCTCAGGGGCTGCGCGAAACACACGTTGCAGGTAAGAAAGATATACCCCCAAGGGGGGCACGGTCGAGGACGAAATGGGTGGGTATCGAGGGCTCGGGTATACGTGTTGAGTGGCCCGCGAGCAGATCAGAGCGATCAGTCTAAAAATCATGGTTGTTGTTGTGTTTGTATTCCTCTTCGTTTTTTCAGCCAAGTTTTTTTGCAGCATATGTCGGACTGGCGGTCTCGGGCCACGCTGCCCCCCCCGTCCGCGACCGGACGCCCGTCCGCGCCCGCGGGCAGGTGCGCTTCATCTCGTCCATCGCGCGGCGCATGAAGCTCATGGGCGCCGTCACCAAGGGAGCCCGCCGCCTCCCCTGCCCTTGGCATCGCTCGGACGTGTGCATTTTTCCTTCGGCGAGGACCATCGAGGACCTTCGGGGGGAGAGAGGGGAGGAGGAGAAAGAGGAGGAGGCGGAGGAGGAGGAGGAGGAGGAGGAAGGAGGAGGGAGGGGGAGGAGGAGGCGAAGGAGGAGGAGGGAGGAGGGAGGAAGAGGAGGAGGAGGAGGCGAAAAAACCACGCACGAAACCAAAAAAACGCAGGAAGTGGACGTCCGCGCGATGGCCAGTGCCCCATCCTGGGCATGCTGCGCGCTCCTGCCACTGGCTTCCTGCCCCGCGCTCGTGGGAGGGCACGCCTCTCCGTAGGGACGGCGCACGCCCCCTCGGCCCCTGGCGACCAGCTCGGTCCGATTCGACGTCGAGTGCGAGGAGGAGGAGGAGGAGGAGGAGGAGGAGGAGGAGGAGGAGGAGGAGGAGGAGGAGGAGGAGGCGTCGAAGAGGTCGATCCATGCCAGGACGGGTGGGCCGCGCCCCCTTGGCCACCCACCGGAGGGCGGCCCCCTTGGCCAGGTCGCTCCAATTCAAAGGCCGATGCTGGGACGACTCGGTGCTGCCCGATGCTTGCATGGCCGTGCCGTAGGCGTCCTGGCGCAGCCGACCCGATTCGATTCGGAGTCCGTGCCGATGCGACCCGATTCGATGCCGGTTCCGATCCGATCCGAGTCACGGAGTCGAAGATGGTCGCTCCCGAGCCATCCACGATCGCTTGCAAGAGAATGGTCGGTGGCAGGAGGTCCGCGTCACGCGGGCACATCCA